GTGTAAGGGATATCCACCAACTCAGAAGAAGTGGAAATCCACAAAGTCTCCTAAGAAAACCTACTACAAAGTCAGTGAACCTTTTGGAGAAAGATGGGATGGGAGCTGCACAGAGGCTTTCCAACAGATCCTCAAATGCCTCACCCAAGCGCCAGTGTTAGCATTTGCTGACCCGTCAAAGCCCTATGTGCTACACATAGATGCTAGTTTCCATGGCTTGGGGGCGGTGCTAAACCAAGAGCATCCTGAAGGACTGAGGCCAGTCGCTTTTGCCAGCAGAAAGCTCAGTTCTTCGGAAAAGAACTATCCAGTGCATCAGCTAGAGTTTCTGGCACTCAAGTGGGCCGTGGTGGATAAATTCCATGATTACTTGTATGGTGCAGAGTTTGTGGTAAGGACAGATAACAACCCCCTTACATATATACTCACCACCGCCAAACTGAACGCCACAGGTCATCGCTGGCTTGCAGCTCTTTCCACCTATAACTTCACTCTGCAGTATCGGCCAGGCTCTAGCAACATTGATGCAGATGCATTGTCGCGAAACCCTGTTTCTGATGACAGAGATGAGTTCAAGAGTTTAACACCTGATGATGTTAGAGCACTCTGCAAGCAGGTGTCCAGAGACCAGTCTGTTGAACYAGTTAGTTGTGCAGAATCTCTATGTGTCCCTCCCACTGCCATGCCAGAATGCTATGTGTTTCCAACTCGACTAGATCTTGGTTGTTTGACCCAGCTCAGCAGAGCAGATCTAGTTAAGGCACAAGACCATGACCCAACGATTTCACTGGTAAAGAAATCCTTAAGTGGAGGACCAACAGTCTCATCTGAGAAGTGTACTGACCCTGGAGCCATATACCTGCTAAGAGAGGCGAGGAAGCTTGTGCTGGTGGATRGATTGCTCCATAGAAAGATTAATAAACCACCTAGTACAGAGGTACTGCAGCTGGTTCTACCCAGAGAACATGTTCCCATGGTGTTGAAGTCTCTCCACGATGAATCAGGTCATCTTGGAGTGGAAAAGACAGTTGAGTTGATTCGCAACAGATTCTACTGGCCTAAGATGGGGTCAGAAGTGGAGCAGTATGTGAAAACTTGTGGTAGATGTATTACCCGCAAAGCTTTGCCACAGCGAGCAGCTCCTTTAAATCAGATCACCAGCCGGGGACCACTAGATCTGGTCTGCATTGACTTTCTTTCTCTCGAGCCTGACTCGAAAGGCTATGCAAATATCCTTGTGGTGACCGATCACTTTACAAGGTACGCTCAGGCGTTTCCGGCTAAWGACCAACGAGCATCCACAGTGGCCAAGATTCTGTGTGAACGTTTCKTTGTTCACTATGGACTTCCTGCACGGATACATTCCGATCAGGGACGTGATTTCGAAAGCAAGCTCATCCAGGATTTACTGAGGATGTTGGGGATCCGAAAGTCCAGAACATCACCCTATCATCCTCAGGGAGATCCTCAACCTGAGAGATTTAACCGAACATTGTTGTCCATGCTCRGGACTATGGATCCCGCTCAGAAACAGAGATGGAGTCAGAA